GTAACTACCTACCTAGGTAGGTACCGTCATAGAAAGAATGTCCACAAGCCCCTAACTGGTGCTCCACCTAGACTATTCCCGTAGGGAATCAACATTCCAGCTGCTATACTGTCCTAACTCTTAATCCAAGAGATAGAAACATTTCATGGAGAGGAAGCCGTGGCCATAGTTAGAGGCACAGTTGCCGTTGTTGTACGCAATAGTCTGCGCGGCGCCCTATAAATATGTTAGACTGTTTGTTCGTAGCGATATTTAATCTAACATAGGTAGATAAGATTTCAGTTCTTTTACCTGGCAGCCCGACTGGGCATAGAAGGTACAGTAGCAAGTAGAGCTCCCCGAAGCATCACAGTTAGCGATGTTGGCGCTATTATCGCCTGTATATGAGTAGCCATAGCAGCTACCGTCGGTGGACGGGAAGATAGAGACGAGGTAGGAGGTGCAGCCACCGTCTGTGTAGTAGTTGATCTTGAACCCGCTGTCTCGCGACTCGATTTCTCCTACAGCAGCATCTCGCTCCGTAATATTTTCGGGCTTCTCAGGGGTTGCCAATGCCGCCGCGAATGCCTGAGCAGAAAAGGGGAGTGCGAGAAGAGAATAACGCATGATGATGGTTTGGATAGTAAGGTAGGTATGTATGGAAGATTCCTTAGTAGCTAATTAGTTTAGTGTATATCTCGAGAGTGATGTCTACCTACCACCTAGATGATAGAAGGGCGGGTGAAAGGAGTATATATACTAATATTTGGTAGTTCCGTGATCCCTTAAGCTTAATAAGTATATGTGTATAAAATGATGTGGGCAGAGACTATTAAGGTCGGTTCGTTTACAGCCGATTATACTACCATAAACCCGTGGTATCGTAAGAGATCTGATTACTGCTAGTGTTTCATTTTTGAAATAGACCATCCAATATCATCTCACGTCTCAAGACAACATTTCGAGCGTGATGTTATTTTTACTAAAAAGACACTATAACACTCATGATCACTTGGGATTTCTAACTATTCCTCACTGGGCATGTATATCTTATTCTCAGTCAAGTTACCCTATCCTAATAGTCTCAGAAATACTACCACACCATGTCTGCACCATATCTAATAGATTATTTGTTACATTAAAAGGTGTTCAAGCTGGACCACATGTTTTGGCGGTGTAGATAGGATTGTAGATGAGTAAGGACTCATAGAAGTACCATCTACTCTATGCCTCGCAAGTACATCCGGGACGAAAAGGAAGAAATCAACTCATAAGCAGATATGATAGATCTTATTTCGTCACGCAACGATTGGACTCAGGGTTAGGCGGTGGGGGGAAACATGTGGTGAGTAACTGGCTTTCAGTTATTATGATCAGTTCTGAGAGCCCCCTCTATTTACATAATAGACACAACTTACATTTAATCACCCCTAATAACATATTTGATTGGCTTGAAGATTATTGGAAACCATCCATGCTAGTCGCTATCATTAGAATGCCGAACACCCCCCGATTTCCCTATTAGTCCTCACTCGCCTATAAGTCGCTATCTCGGGAGATCTGGTGTGATAGCATTATCGATGCTACAGCATCTTAGCTCAGCTCAACCGGGAATAAAACGGTAGGCTAAAAGCGCTTATGAGGATATAGATACATATTACGAATTGAGCCTCCATGAAAGAAGAACTCCCCTCACTATAGTATAATGCCGATGACCCGGAAATTCAAGCTACTTAATAGGTTCGGATATATGCTGACCACACTTACACCTTGAATGTCTAGTAAAAACCTATAGGAGCATTTCCCCCGGGGCCCTGATGTTCTGCCACGAGTTCACTTACATAGTTCTTGTTCAGAATATATACTAAAACAGGCAATTATTAACAGCGACTGCAGGTATGGCGCTTGTAGCCCGCTTCCGCTTGAGATATAGTTAGCGGTTGCCACAAACTAATTAAAAGAAGATGTAAGCTACCTAGTCATGGGCTCTAATTAGAAAGGTAATGATTGTAATCTATATTGAGACCGGTAGTCTCATGCATATATTGAACTATTCCCCCAACTAATTAGATCCAATTGTAAATACTTATTTGTCTGGTATCTCATGGCACCTCCAGAATGTAACTAATAGTTGCACAAGGAACTATTCTAGCTGAGTTTCCCATCAAAGTTACCTGACTTCCACTCTTTTAAAAAGTATTGTGCTGCTCGAAGACATCCACCAACTTTCTATAGCTACGCCAATAGAAGGATTACATAGAAACTAGCCCTCTACACAAGTACATAAATATATATATATGTATATTTATATTTATATTTACAGGCCAGTATGATGGGTGAGTGACTTGAGATCAATCTGCCTGCCAGAGCTACAACATAATCAATAAATTGCATGATTTCGGAGCTAAAACTTCACCACCTCGTATCGACACTTGTGTTTTTATGTCGAATTGCAACATACGTTGACGAAAAGTTGCCTTTTTACCTCACAATCCAGCCCATAGCTTACTCATGCCGTTACATTGAATCCACAACTTGTCCGTACATATTAGTCAGAAGCTGACGCCAGCTAAAAGGGGGGCCATTGCTGGCGATAGACCCTTACCGCCCACCGCCATCATTAGCGTGAGTCTCGCAAGATCGATCCTATCATGAGATATATCACGATACTGTGCTCCGTCTTTCCGCGTTCTAGTGAGAGCTCTTTGCCGGCTACCCGATGCTGGCTCGTCGACCCCCGTGGGACCAAGAGGGACGGGTTTTAAGTAGCAACTTAATGCTCAGGTAGTACGTTCAATCCATCCAGACAGCGTCGAGATTCAATCACTATCCTAATTTATCACGATGCCCCGTCGCTCTATCTTGGTAGCAGCAAGTGGCATTTTAGCGGCTGTGATTGCCTTAGCTACGTCTGAGCCGGCCTTAAATATTGTTCAGATCGAAACAACTCCCAATGGCTTCACGAGTTCGCCAAAGGGGTGGAACTCTTTCGGTATACAGGCCAACCCCAATACAACTCCGGGCTTCTCATTCAACCAAACTGGAGTGATAAGCCAATGTGATGTACTCGCGAAAACTACTGCACTTAAAGACGCCGGATATGTATATTGCAGTCTCGATTCCGGGTGGTCTGTAGGCGGCAATGGCGACGATTTCGGACGTATCATTTATGATTCGGCCATATTTGATATTCCGGGCTTAGCCAGCCACTTACACGCCGAAGGCTTACTCCTCGGCGTGTACGTTGTGCCCGGTGCTTTCATCGCCGACGAGACGAAAACTATCTTTGGGACGAGCGTCACTATCGGCTCGGTATGCTCCGGCGACAACGGCTTAGCTCGCTGCAATTTTGATTATTCTCAACCGGCTGTTCAAGAATGGCATAATTCTGTTGTGAACCAATTCGCTTCTTGGTAAGTTTCTAGATCGAGGATAAACCTCAGCCATTTGAAGCTAAGACTTTAGTTAAAGGGGCGTCGACTTCATCAAGCTTGATTTTGTAACGCCGGGGTCACCATCAAATGGCGTAAATCTGCCTGCTGACTTGAGTGGAGAGGTCGTTGCATATCACCAAGCTATTGCACTGTCGGGGCGGGAGATACGTCTGGATATATCGTGGAAGCTGGACCGTTCACAGGAGTACTTTAGCATCTGGGAGACGAATGCTGACTCCATGCGCACTGACCAAGACATCAACAATGGCGGGGAGTCTACATTTGTCTCTTGGGAAGTTGTCCAGCGGGCCATCGACAATTACCGACAGTACATCGCCACCGCGATGCTGTATAATAGAACTCTAACCATATATCCCGACATGGATAACCTGTTCGTAGGCAACCCTGCCTCGGTATCAGGAGTGACAGATGACGGACGCCAGACTATCATGACACACTGGCTCGGAGCCGGTGCCAACCTCATTATCGGCTCTGATTTAACTAACCTTGATGTCTTTGGGCTCAACCTCTTAACGAGTCCAGGTGCTCTTGCAATCGCTGACTTTACCTCCCACTACCCGATGCAACCCCGTAGCCCAGGAACTGGCCTGCCCAGCTCTCAACAGTTACAAGCGTGGATTGCTGGGCCAGACGCGTCAGGGGACGCCGTGGTGGTAATCGCCAACTACGGCCCAGACGAAGGCCAAGGCGGGTTTGGGACTTCATTGTCGGGCGTGCAGACTATCCGCGTATCATGGGATGACCTTGGGATTAGTGGGGGGTTTGAGGTCCATGATGTATGGGCTAATAAGGATTTAGGGGCCGAAAGCTCGGGCTTGACCGTGCAGCTTAGGGAAGGACAAAGCGTTTTATACAAGCTCACTCCATCATAAAGAACACCTGATGCAGAGAAGCAATCGACGAATTCCTTCTCGTTTGATTATGTTCTGTCGCCCTTGTTAGGATTCTAAACCTAGCCATAGGTTCTCGTAGCTTAGGTTGGAGTTTGTTTGCTTGTAGTAGCTTTCAGGTATACTTCGTAATAGAAACTAAAATACCAAACACCGAACCATACCATGAGTAGGTAGTTACCCGAACAAGTACAAAGTATCGAGATTCTATTTTCTCAGGCTATCTTCAAAGTTACCGAGTTAAGAAAATGCTAGAATGTCTAAAACTGTGTAGCTGTATTCTAGTTATAGTAAGTTATACTAGGAAGGGCCGAATAGGATTGAATAACTATAGTGTACATGCACAGAAAGTAGAAAAATTATCAACTATTGAACTGACTAGTCTCGACGATAGGAATCTTGGTGTAATTGAGGAAAGTCTATGAAATATGCACAATTATGTAAGGGGTAAAACATATACTAAGGAGACTTGACCAGCCAATCATATCTCACCCCTCAAATTTGGAGATTTGGAGGTCCCCGGGTTTGATGTGCATATGCTCCATAAAATAGTTACAATACGTACATACAACATCAAATATTTCCACCTCAGGGAATGATTTCAAGACAGGAAAAAATCACAAAAATTGTCTAGCATCGAATCAATACACCAATATGTGAATTGTGCAAAATGAACGGGCTCAACCGGGATTCGAACCCGGGACCACTCACAATTTCAATCTCTTGAAGAGATCGGGAATATAGCATATAGCTAACCCGAAGCGAGTATCTTACCACTGGACCATTGAGCCGTGTTTTTGGTATGATTGGATGGAATATTGGGTTCCCGTCTTTGTTTATATTTACAGCAATAATATTGTGGGTCTATCTGGGGTTGTTAAGGGGTTGTTAAGTTTTTCTAAGTTTATAAAATTGCTTGTGGCACTAACTCAATATGGTAAGTAAACCTTGACACACTCCGGATTGGAGTAGCATATCCGACCCTTCTGCACGGGGACTCTGGCTCTGGTTCTGGCTCTGGTTCTGGGCAAGCGCATGCCTCGGAAGGTGGACTTGGACTTCTCCAAGATTGAGGCCATACGTAATAAAATGCATGTATGTACCTACCTATTTATTTTCTCCTTGATCATTCGTACTTCCATGTCATTCGGACTTGTCATTCATACTTGCATTTGCATGCATTTGCATTTGCATTTGCATTGACCTAACGTAACTGCTTCTTTTAAGCTGCAAGCTGCAAACTGCAAGTTGCACCACTTTCAAACCACTTCCACACCATTTCTTTTACATGGTCAGCTGTCTTTCTTTTTGACCTCTATATTTCTACCTCATGTTATGCGCTTTCGTTGATCTTTTTTTGAGTCCGTGAATAACAAATTTCCCAATCCATACCTCCTGATACTACATATAGCAACCACCCCCCGGTCATATTATATTCTATTTTACATCCAGTCAAGATTCATCACTCAGCTACTATAAACGACGATGCTTTACTCGCTTGACACGGTTTCGTTTGGCTCGACGTAAAATGTTTCTTTCGAGCTTACTTGGTGCCTCATCGGGGCGGAGGGGTTCCTTTAAATCAAACAGGTCCAATCAATCCCAACGTTCTCCTGATGTCTCCCCGTCGCGCCACCGAAACTTTACCTCCTCTGCTCCTGAGTATCTTTCCGACGAGTCGCAAATCCAACCTACCAGCCAACCACCACCAGACGTGCTCGATCTAAACCAGAACCTCGACAGGCTCGCAGCCCTCTTCCCCGATATCCAAGTCGAAGTCTTCAGGGAGATGCTTGCATCCTTTTCCGAAGAGTCGCGACTATTTATCATCACGGATAAATTGTTGAAGAACCCTGGCGAGTTTGTTAAGGGGCGACGGAGAGCTAGCGAGCATACCGGCCCGGACTCGAACGCCCTAGTCTCGCGAACCGAGGCATTCAGAACGACGGAATACAAGAAGGCAGTGCGTGCTTTGGCGGCGCAGGAGTTTAAGGGTCTATTGTCTAGATCCTCGATTGACGCAGTTTTATCCGAGTTCAACTACTCGTACCTCGACGCGCGACAGACCCTCGTGGACCTATCTTCCAAGACGTGGAAGTTCACTATATCTTCCTTCTTCTTTCGTCGCAAGCCCGTGACTTCTGCTGAGGCCGAAACGCACCCTCTTATTATCTGGAAATCCGCGGATGATGGGTCGATGATCCCGACTTTAAAGGCAACCGGTAGTGCCGAACTGGATAGAGAACTGTTTGAAGAGTTGATAGTACCATTAAAAGAACGCGAGCAACTATTGAGAGAAGAAAGGGACCGCGCCATGGCTGTTTCCCTGCTTACAAAGGACGCCGAAGCTCACGAAGCTATGTTTGAGTGCAGCTGCTGCTATTCGGATGTGATTTTTGAAGAGATTACTACCTGTACTACCGAAGGGCATATAGTTTGCTTTAACTGCGTTCGCCATTCTATCACTGAAGCGATTTTTGGGCAGGGATGGCAGCGTAGCATCGAGAAGGAAACAGGTGCTCTTCGATGCCCTGCTGTGGCGTCGGTAGAGTGCGAAAGTTGCGTATCGCCCGAGCACATCCATCGGGCTATGCAAGGGGAGAAAAACGGAGATGAGATTATACGCAAATTTGACCAACGACTAGCAGAGCATGGACTCATATCTAGTGGCTTGCCCCTGGTCCGATGTCCCTTTTGCACCTACGCCGAAGTTGATGATCTATATATGCCAGCTAGCATATCCAGACCCAGGATCCGTGTCAGCAATATTCCAAACTTTATCATCATCTCCATTTGCTTAATTATATCTCCCCTTTTATTTCCCATTCTCGTGTTAGCGTCAGCATTTGCCGTTTTGTGCTTGAACCGTTCGTTTAGGGACTACGTGTCTCGGCATCTAGGAGCGGCCGTTATGAGGTACCAGCGTCGCCGTCGCGGGTTAAAATTCAACTGCCAGAATCCAACTTGCCAGCGCCCGTCTTGTTTGTCATGCTCGAAAGCGTGGGTGGATGTTCACGTCTGCCACGAGTCGTCTCTTGTCGCTTTACGCACGCAAGTGGAGCAGGCGATGTCTATGGCGATTAAGCGCGTCTGCCCTCGATGCAGCACCTCCTTCGTCAAGACAGCCGGATGCAACAAACTGACCTGTCCCTGTGGCTATAAGATGTGCTACGTCTGTCGCAAGAACATAGGTACTCCAAATGAGGGCTATCAGCATTTTTGTCAACATTTTAGGCCCGAGGGTGATGGCCGACAATGCGGCGAATGTAGCAAGTGTAATTTATGGGAAGCCGAGAATACTGAGGAAATCCTTCGAAAAGCTAAGATAGAAGCAGAGCGGAATTGGAGAGCATCCGAAAGTCGCGAACTGTCTGACGCAGAGAAAGCGTATCTCGAAGATGGCGTAGGCAGCTTTAGTCGAGACAAGAGTCTGGCATGGCTGCTTCCGGGCGGTAAGGTCCCGAGCATTGAGGAGTTCTGCGATTTTATTATAGAGACTTTGTTTATATAGCGGAACGGATCGGGCTGGACACGGAGTTTTGGTAAAAAAGGAGCGCCTCTCTTTGAAGTCGAGTTTCGAAAGCGAACCTCATATTGGGAACGGGCGTATGAGAAAATATATCGGTCCTATGGCGGGGAAAGGAATAGGAGACTATCTGTATGTTATACCCATTAGTTAGTAGCGTCGTACATGCAACTATTTATCACAGGCTCTACAGTCTCTAGTAGCACTACAGTATACAATGATGCAGCTGTTATTTTGACATAGTTGAGAAGGTCGAGATGGTTAAGCAAAATTGTTGGGCAAACTATTCAAATACTTGATACTCGGTTTAACCACTAGTATGACGCACTTGAATTCATGCGCGGATCCCTTCGGCTTCAAACAAACTGAAAATGTCCTGTTCCAAGTCAAGCTACATACCAACATATATCACCCTTTTACAACGACGCCCAATCTGACGAACCAAGAACAGAGGAAAAAAGAGAACTCCCAATGCTAAAAAATAAAATAAATAAAGAAAAGATTAATGCTCCCTTACATCATCTCATCTCATCCAGACTCGTACACCCATCCTCCTCCCACCAAATCCCCCACCCACAACCACAGCCACCCCACCCCCTTTCCCAGGGGGATTCACAACTTCCCTCCATCCCCGCCGCCGACAAGTTCGGCAGCAGCGCCGGAGATAGCCAGACGGCCCGTCTCCTTGACCTTGGTCTGGAAGACGACCTTGGCGGGGCCCTCCTTCCACATCTCGGTGACGAGGGTCTCGCCGGGCAGCACGGTGCCGGCGAAGCGCACCTTGACGTTGCGGAACGGCCCGAACTTCTCGTAGACGGCCTTGCTCGCTACGCCCATCGAGCAGAGCCCGTGCAGGATCGGCACCTTGAACCCGCCCATCTTGGCGAAGCTTGGGTCGATGTGGAGGGGGCTGCGATGCGGTTAGTCTTGGGGTCGTTACGTTGGTGATAGAAGGGAAGGAGGAGGGGGGAAAAAAGAAGGAAAAGGAAAAGGAAAAACCCACTTGTAGTCGCCGCTAAGTCGGTAGATGGCAGCTTGCTCCTCGGTCGTCTTGGTCTCGACGATGATATCCGGGTGTCTCTTCGGCGGGGCATTAGCAGCAGTAGCCGGGCCTCGATCGGCCGGTTTCTTCTGGCCGCCAAACCCCCCGCACCCTCTCAAGAAGACAGTAGCCTCGTTGTAGAAGAGCTCTTCGTCGGTTTCGGCGTTTACGGTGGTGACGCCGTACTTGAGGATAGCGGCGTTGCCCTTGTCCACGACCTCGATCAGCTTGCCGAAGTTCTTGGTCCGGGCCGCCGTTGGGATAGGGTACTTCTTGACCTCGAGGTACTGCTCGCCGTGCAGCAGCATCATGGGTGAGAACTTGGGCACTAGTTCGTCCATGCTGAACGGCATGTTGGTGTCGAACTGCGGGATTACGCCGTACGTTGGTAGCACCTGGAAGTCCTCGTGGCCCTCAAACACATACTGTAACTCGTTCCTCTTAGCGCCGACGCCCAGGTTGTAGAGCATGCTGTCGCGCTCCGTGTAGGTGTACTCGGTAGGTTGGGACTTGGCAGCCAAAGCATTCTTTTGGGCTTCGAGATATCTATTACTTTCGGAGGGAGCCTGAGCAGAAACAAGAAGTCAACATCAATAGTTCATTTCTTTGCTAAACTAGAACATATTACAGATATATATATACATAATAGTCCGAATGATAGGACATTAAAGAAAGAGGGCTCATCATACCTTAGATGCCCCTCGCTTGTTTTCCATGTTGGCCATGATCTTCGCCACCGAGTCTTGGGATTTCTCAGGGTGGTCTGCTCGGCCGTCGTCAAAATCGATAATCTTGGCCCAGCTCTTGGCAACCTCTTCAGGAACTAGCTTAACATCGACCGGGAAGCCAACACCTCCCGACCGCTGCCACCTTGTCCGGCCACACCAACCGCTACCTACTTCGTATAGGTAACCTGTAGGGTTCTTGGGCACCTTATCGCTGCAGAGAGCAAGGACAAGGGGAGCTATGTAGTCGGGCTTGAAGGCTTGAACTAGCTCCTCTGGTAATATGGTTCGGGTCATGGCAGTTCCGGCGTTAGGAGCAATGGTATTGCAGTAGATATTGTATTTAGCTCCCTCGAGGGCGATGGTACGAGAAAATCCAAGGATACCGCATTTCTAAGATTTGTCAGTTTTACTTGATTCGTTTTGACCATTCTATATTTTAGCCACTTACCGCTGCCGCGTAGTTTGCCTGTCCAAAGTTACCGTAGATACCGCTGG